AAGAGATGGATGAGAAGGAAGCGAGCAGTGTTCATTTGTGAGCCCAGTGTACATCTGAGCAGGTTCATACTTCCAGGTGAAATCCCTGCATGCCATTAGCTGCTACACTACATTAACTCTAGCTTTTTACTCTGAGCCAGGGACTTGGAGAATAGATAGGAAAGAAAGGAATAAGGATAAACTTACAAGGCTGAGACATTGTTTCTTATATTATGCAAGCCTTTACAAACGTTCCAATTTTTTGGAGAGTTTCTATTAAAATTATATAATCAATGGATATCTTAATAGTTGTAGATGCTCTTTAAGCAATCTCAATTAGGAGAAAAAGTCTGACTAGATTGACAAGTCAATGACTGAACATGGACAAGATGGATATCTGCTGTCTTAGGCAATTTCTAACTGTTATAGTGATACATGCAAACATTTACACTGCTGTTAGTTTTGGATTACAATATTTATATTGAAACTTATAGCAATTTTTGTTAATACCAATAAACCCATCTAAATATGACAGTGGACGTCATGTCTCTAGTAACAAAGACATATAGGTTGAGTGAAGGGACCTGAAACAGTGTGGGGATGGACAATATGTCTTTCAAGAGACACAGAAGGAGTGGTTAAGTGAGGTGACAGTGCTCAAGGGGGTAAAAGTAATTTGAAATGATGGGTGGTCATGGTGTTAATGGACCAATACTGTTTCCCAAAAGGATAAGTTGGTTGCCTGTGTGGGCAAGGATGGTAGCAATTTTACCCACCTTTTTATCCACTATCTTGTCCTAAAGCACCTTGATGGAAAATGTCTTGAAGTCAATGATCCGCTCAGCAGTAGGGCGGTACATGTTTAATCCTCGTCCTTTGAAAAATGAGAATGCAGAAATTCAGCCAAACTTTGATGTTAAGAACAAGGAGGGTTATTGACTGAGAAGGTGTAAAGTTAGACATGGTTGTGTTTGCATTTATAATCCATTGCCTTTTTGACAAATCAGAAGTCATGAAAATTTCCAACTTTATAACATTTTTTTGACTCAATACTTTGTTAAAGATGTCAAAACTTTTGTCTTCTGTTGTATAATAAAACTAAATGTATTTACACTCCCTTAGTTTCATCTTGTTAACTACTGGCATTATACTTGTTGCATTTATTTAAAAAAAGTGCTTTTTTTTCATTAGATGGTGTATTTTTGTCTGTGCTGCTATTAATCTGTGCATACCTGTAAAATAAAATTGAACTGGAGCAAAACATAATTCAACGTATAACATATTCAAGCTTATGCTACTCAACTCAAGGTCTTCCTGACATTGTTAGCATCTGTGACCATTGTGCATATGTGTGCATAGAATTTTGTTTTCAGAATTAATAGGATTCCACCATGTCTCTCCTTATTTTATAATTTTGAACCTCCATATTTTGGCCTTGATGAAATCGTTCTATCATCAAAGCACTCTGGCTGTTAACAACTTTAATCAATCCAGTTAATTGCTCATATGTGACACTGGCTGTGACGACAGTGTCATCCATTTTCCATATCAAATGGATCATTAGATTTACATACTGAAGCTTAGCACTCAGACACACGCTCTCTCTTTCTGACATCATTAGCTGTGGCCTCAACCAAAGTGCTTTAATTAGGATTACCTTGACTTGCAATGTAGCTCATTAAAAGCAGATGAGTAGTTGTAAAAATACCAACACCCACATTCTGGTTATGTTATAATGAAAAAAAATAACTTTTATAACAGGTAATTATAGCGTTTGGTGCTTTAATGATAAAAATTAATCATTCCATGAGTTATAATTTAGTGCAGATATATTCATCTCAAATTTGTAGTTTTAGCAGATTCACAGGCTTTTTTATTATTAGCAATTATAATACGCTGAACAAAAAATATAAATGCAACACATTTTCATTAACTGATCTCAAAGATCTAAGACTTTTACTTTGTACACAAAAGGTTATTTTTTTTCCTCTCAAATATTGTCCACTAATTTGTGTAAATCTGCATTAGTGATCACTTCTCCTTTACTGAGATAATCCATCCACCTCACAGGTGTGGCATATCAAGATGATGATTAGAGAGAATGATTATTGTATAGGTGTGCCTTAGGCTGGCCACAATAAAAAGCCTTTCTAAATTGTACAGTTTTCTAACACAGTACAATGTCACAGATGTTGCAAGTTTTGACTGAGTGTGCAATTGGCATGACAAACTTCAGGCATGCCTATCAGAGCTGTTGCCCATGAATTGAATGTTCATTTCTCTACTATAAGTCATCTCCAAAGGCATTTCAGAGATTTTGGCAGTTCTTCCAACTGTTCTCACAACTACAGACCACATGCAACCACATCAACCCAGAACCTCCACATCCAGCATCTTCACCACCAAGATCATCCCAGATCAGCCCCACGTACAGCTGCTGCAACATTCTGCATAACCAAATATTTTCTGCACAAACTCTCTGAGGGAAGCTCATCTGCATGTTCGTCGTTCTCATTGGGCTCTCCACCTGACTGCAGCTCGTCATTGTAACCAACTTGAGTGGGAAAATCATCACATTTGATGGCATAAGTCACATAGGAGACGTGTTCTCTTCACAGATGAATCCCAATCTTCATTGTACAGGGCAGAGAGCAGACTCTGTCTATGGTGTCATGTGGGTGAGTGGTTTGCTGATGTCAACATTGTGAACATAGCAGCCCATGGTGGCTGTGGCGTTGTTGTGTGATAAAACTGAAAATTTTAGAGTGGTCTTTTATTGTGGCCAGCCTAAAGCGCACCTGTGCAATAACCATGCTGTCTAATCAGCATCTTGACATGCCACACCTGTGAGGCGGATGGATTTGTCTTGACAAAGGAGAAGTGATCACTAATAAAGATTTACACAAATTTGTGAAGAGAAGCAGCCGTATTGTGCACATAGAAAATGTCTTAGATCATTGATTTCAGCTCATGAAAAATGGGAGCAAAAACACACATGTTAAACTTATATTTTTGTTCCATGTACGTACATTTTAAATGCAAATTAAAACAGACATCAAACAGTTAACATTGACAATTAATTTGTATAGTTAAACAGTTTGAAGTGCACACGTTTATGCTCTTGACTCAAAGCCATGCTAAATTATGGTTCTTTTAATTTGATAAAACGTATTCAAAAATATAGATTTTGAAAGGCTTTACAGGACAAAGCAGCATGCTAGCTCATGTGCAGAAATGCAACTTAATGAGACTGCAAGAAAAATGAAGATTTTGACTTTGAAATCATCTTATACTGCAACATTGCACATCTGCAACCACTGCTGCTGGTTGCTGAGAAAGTGCCTCCTGCTTTGCTTCACATAACATGGGAACGATACAACAAAGACAAGTTGTGCATGCTGGGAATAATGCAGGAGCTATTCTAAGAGGACAAACAAACAAGTTATTGTTAACCCTCTTAACAAAATTGACTTTACAGCAGCATAGTGTGAATTTTCTTTTGAAAACACTTTTTTAACCTTCTTTTTTTTGGTTAAATATCAATCACTGTCAATTAATCGTCAAGGTGCAACTGGTATTGTGCAGTTGTCAGTATTTGTGTGATATTTTGATTAGAAAACTTTAAAGAAGGTATTGATCAGTGTGCTTTTAAGAGGCAGACACAAAAGGGAAAATTATGTATTTTTTTTAATATTTTTAATTGTCTGAAAAGCCTTCTTGACAGCTGGATAAATAAACCTCTGTTTAACTAGCGGGTGCTGGGGGGTGGGGGTATTTATTCAATGTGACGAGAATAGAGCAAGCCTTTGTCTCACCTCTATAGCCAGAAATCCCAACAGTCATTCTGTGACTCTACATCATTCATCAGATGTTTTGTACCAAACTGTCTGAAGAAATGAAAGCATTGATGAATACAGCCATTAAAATTGTGAACCACATTTGTTCAGACTCAACCCTAAAGCACTGGCTTTTTAAAATATTACTACAGGACCAGGGTGCTCTATATTTGGACCAAGTTCAGTCCAAGTTCACACATGATAAGTCCATGACCCACTTTTTTGTGCTTGTCTGTGTATGTGTGTGACAAGTCAAACCACTTAAACCCATTCAACCTGCAGCTCCAACCTGAAATACAAATATAAGAGATAATTGAAAAACTGAATGCTTGCTGAGAGAATCTGGAACTGTTCCTGGCTGCAACCAGTAATAGTGTTGCTGAAAGGTCTGGCAGTCAACTTCAATACGTATTTTGACAACTTTAAAGTCCCAGAGCACCCACAGCTGAATGTGCACACCTGATCAGTTTCCATGACACTGGAATCTATCAAGCTGAACCGAAGGCCAGTTGTGCCTGTTATCAGTGAAGGTGCGATCCAGCTGGAGCTAGTACAGATGGAACTGCGGATGATTCCAATCAAGAACAAGAGGCATAACATTTTATTTGTAAACTCCCTATAATAACCTCTTTTAAAATATAATGTTTTAAACACAGTATTTTGAAGGCGATGTGAGGTTAGTGTCTAGTCCAAGGACACTTAGTGAAGCCCCCAATATTTTAAATGAAATACAACAACACTGACCAAAAGCCATGCCTAAGGGCCTGTTTTTAGAACGCCTCATGTCTTCAAGTTCTAAACAGACATTTATGTAATTCTAATAAATTAAGTGTGTTGACAATTAGAGTTCTACGTCAGATTAGCAAGATGGATGTAAATTAAATGCAATATATCTAGAAAAAGCAAAGCATAACTGTAAACAAGAGCTGATGAATTAGGATATTTTCTTGAACTACTCATGCAGAGAGACTACACATTAGTTGTGACAGAGGAAATGGTACAAACTTGTCAGCAGTTTTCTTCATACTTTGTATTTTTCTATGGACACTATATATATATATATATATATATATATATATATATATATAATTTTTTAATTTTTTTTTCCCCAGTACTTGTTTATCTCTTCGCAAATGTCAGTGAAGCATTAGACCCAACCCGTGTTTTGTATTTGTTTTATTCCAGATATTCGTGGAATCGAGGACTTTCTGGACCGTACCTCACAGCAGGGAATGGATGTCTCTCTTCAGAAGGTGGAATCCAACATCAACATGATGATCACAAGTCTGTTCAGAACGATGCGTGTGGAGGAGCTGCATCGCTACAGGGACACGCTACGGAGAGCAGTATTGTTCATGAGCCCAGCTACTGCCAAAGCTTTCATCACTGAGGTAAGTCACTTTTTTCTTCTTCAGTTAAAAGGTGGACAACACAATTATTGGTAGGTTAAGCACTACTCAGTGTGTAAATAACATGATAATCAGGTATTTTTCAAATCCTACTAGACAGGAAATAATCAGAAATTTAATTATATAAATTAGATATAAAATATAAACATTTTATCATTTCCATACTTTTCTTGAAAAACTACTGCTTCAGGTAAAATACAGCCAGTTTGAATTTTTATAAGCTGCTGGTCTTTGTCTGAACCACATTACCTAACATAAGGGGGAATTCTCCTTTTAAGTTCACTTAAATAACAGTGGTAAAGCCCTTGAACCTTCCAGGGAATGTGAAAATAGCTCCGAGTTTGTATCTAGTCTTCTGATCTTTTTCACTTTGCTTAGTATGATTAAAATTAGAAGAGATTATATAAATTTACTCTTCAATAATTTCATTTATTGTCCCACCTTGCACATGTTCCAACCACCTCCCTTTAACATCTACAAATTTGAAACCAAACACCTATCTCTCTCATGTATCTCCATCTACCATTATGCTCTTTATCTTTGTAGAAGACAATTAGAGGAGTTCCTCTGCTCTTATGCATAAATGATATGGAGGTCATGGATGAAAGCAATAGGCTGCAGCATTAGTTATGAATTCACAATGTGTAGTGGTAGGATGGGGTCTAATCCCATGTGTCATGTTCTCATCTCAGTTTAATTAAAAGTGACCTCGGAAAGAGCAATCACAATCTAATTTGGTTGGAGGCGTGACAGGAAGAGGGTGAAAAATGAGGTGTTATTTTGTGATTGTGAGTATGCTCGTGTCAGTGTTTGTGTGTGTTTTTGTATAGCTGTGTCTTAGCCTTTAAGTGAGTCAGGGAACCACAATGAAGCTATGCTGTTTTTGACCATTTAGGTGGTTCTTGACATGTTGTCATATGGTTTTGCATATCCTGCAAAAAATATTCACATGCCATTTGAAGGGATTTCAAGGTTCAAAGTTCTTTATTGTTATTTGCATCACATGTGGTACATGAGGTGGAACGGAATTGTGTATTCAAAGTCCCAGTTAAACTCAAAAATGGCAAAAATATAAAGTCTAAAGAAAAAGGATTAGGATCTAAGGTATACTTTGAGATAAACTATGTAGATTTGAACCGGGGCAACCTCCTCGATGAGAGGCAGGAGCTCTACCAATTGTGCTTCTGTGCTGCCCTGCTAAACACTTAATAATGTAAAATAATATGGTATATGAAACAAATTGAATCGTCAGCACCCATGAAAATATATATATTTTAAAGCAATATCAAGATAACAACAAAAAAGGTTGAATCATGTCATCTGGACTTCGTTTTTTTTGTTAAAAATAAATGTTTCGCCCCTCATCCAAGAGGCTTCGTCAGTCTGAGGCCTAGCCAT